AAAATCGTGTGCACCAGCTTCGCACCTGGACCCATCTAGGCGCAATATCCAAGTTGCATCACATAGAACACGCGACACGCACTGTTGCGTTCATATTAACGTTGTTTTCAACTTATAAAGGGGTTACATAAAATATGTCTTAGAATTAATTTATTATTCGCATATTAGTTTATGAGTACTTCTAACAAATTACCAACAATGTGCTCACAGTAACTAAGACACGATTTCTTTACGCCAATGACAACTGCATTTCAACGGCAGCTATGCAATGTGCAAAGAAAGTTTAAGAAGTGTATTTGCATAAACGTTATTATTAGCTGTGATAAGATTAGTTGAAGAAGCTGAAAGTTCTAATGCTATAAATCTTTTGAAGTAGCAGAAGTGCCAAATGCATATTCCGCATAGTGATAGAAATCAAGAGCATAAGTAATGCCTTTTTAAAAGCATACAATCGTTTTTCAAATGTCTGTGGTCTAAATATAATTTGAATTCTCATTATATTCGACTTTATTACGAATCGAAAAGAAGACCGGTAAAAGTGTATTTGTATATACTAATTTATTCTGAATTAAAAGCCTTCATTTTTGGTTTTTCTTCAGAACTTATTGAACAACAGTTGTTCAATACATACACCCGATTACTGTATACGCCTATAAATTAAAGTATTGTAAATCATAATTTTAGTGAATGTTTAGGTAATTCAATTGTGATTTCAAGAGTGTTTTTAATTTCAATGCTTAGAAGTTCCTGTTAAGGGACAATTCACCTCGATGGAAATGAGACATCTGGTTTATATAGCTAATAATATTAGCTAACAAAAACCTATATTATATATATATATATATATATATATATATACAAAAATTAAGGGGCATCCATCCAGTTATTTAAAAAGAAAATATATTTGAACGAGTACCAATTTGAATAAATCTACGATGTAACACAAAAATTAATAAAAAAACACAAAACCTACACATAATAAATAAAAGACTCAATTACCGGTTATATTTACAAAAAAAGAATTATATATTTAATTTAAAAATTAAATTAAATATAATCGATGTAATAAAAACTTAAATACAATCAACCACCATGTTCAGATAAGTGAAACAAATTTAATAATATATAGAATCAACCAAATAACTTTTTGAAAATGTTGTAAAAATCTAACTACTGCATATTTTCACAAATTTATATTTTTATTTGAAAGTACAATCCCAGTAAAAAAAATTTAAAAAAAATATCCAAATGAGTTTTCCTCAAATAACAAAAAAAAATATTTTAGCTCTTTTGCTATCATAAAAAAAAGTTATTCCTCTTTATGAAATTCTATATCAGTTTTACTTCTCTAACATTATTGGTAATAAAAAACTGATAACCTGTTTTTGTGATCTTCAAATAATTAATACTGATCAATTAGAAACATATTTTATTTTACAGTAAATCGACAATTTATTTAAATAGTGTAGATAAGACAAGAACTGTATTCGATACATGAAAACATTTGTTAATCTATGACAAAATATTTTTTGGATCCTAAAATTTCAGAAAAAAAGTTAATGCTAATTGATCGGTAAATTGGCGAATCAATTATTTTAAATAGTTACATTGGACAATCAAAAATAACAAAAAATATGTCGGTACTTGAAATACTTACTTCATTTTATCATTACGTGCCTAATCAAATAATGCTGCTGAACAGTAATGATTTTGATTTCATAACAAACATTGGTGAAATATTCCTTTACCATGAAACAATTACTATCTAATGTCTCAAAATTTATTAACTTTCTCAATCGATTACATAAAATCAATTTGTTGATAGAAATTTAAAACAAGAAAAAAAATGTAGACATAATCATGAACGAACACATCGTGAATCTAATCATCGGAATATGCAATGCAGATTCACACAATCAATTTATGTTATGAGTCGTCATTTCACGCGCAAAGTCAAAGATTAGCAAACACATTTACATTAATTCACAATCGCGGTGATAAATATACAAACACACAAGGTGAAAGCTTAATTTGCAATAAAAATACACATTTGCAATAAATAATTTCAATATTTCTTTGTATGATATCTTCTTGATTATATTTACAAACTTTTTAATTTTTTTTTCAACCGAATCGCGGTAACATCCGTATACCTTTTACGTATAAATCAAAACAAAGAATTGTATGCAAATAATTTAATTCTATAATAAAGCGACTTCAAAAGTTTGGTTATTCTTTTTTGTTATATTTTTAATTACAATCTGTCAGGACATTCAGTAATTGGGGTGTCTATTAATAATCACGTGATCGACATTTTAGGGATTTTTGAACCCCCTCCCCCTTGATGTTACGTGGGGATATTCAAAATTACCCCCCCTACCAAACATCACGTGTATTTTTATTTACGTAAAAAAATTGTAAAATTTTTGCTTTTTTTCAGGTAAAAAATAAATACACGTGATATCTTACTATACCCTTCCCTCCCTCACGTGATGTTTTGTGATGTTTTGTCCAACCTTCCCCCCTCCCCTTAAAAACCCCACATGATTATTGGACGCCCCCTTATTGAATGGATGGCAACCCAGTAGTTGTCGAATCCAGTTGTGACTAACTACATTCGAAGTATTTGTTGATATTTTATTATTATATATGCAGCAATACCCACGAGAGGCGATTTTCATTTGAGACTATATTCGAGAACTATAATCTCAAGTGGAAAGACATCAAAGTTGCAAGATGTCGGACTTGGACGGGGCTGAGATCGAACCAACGATCCTGGGACTAGTTGGTGCTAGCTCACGTCGGAAGTTTGGTTATTTGACCAATATTTTCTTAATTTTTTGTTGTTTGTTTTTATTAACAACAATACGAATTAAATAGTCTTATAAGATTTCCGTGATGACTTCTTAACAACGTGGCTTTTTTTTTTTAGAATAGCCTATCTGTATTATATGAATTCACTATTGGGGTTTCTCTAATACTGATAACCTTTTATTGAATGCTGGAATACATATATAATATATATATATATATATAATATATATAATAATATAATAAAAAAAACGATGTCAATTGATATCCAAGGCTGGTATCAGAAGTAATCAGAACTGATTACGCCACCGCTGGGCCTAGTTTGGTTATTCGACCAATTTTTTGTTGTTTATTTTTATTACAAAACGACCAGAATTAAATAGTCTTATGAGCTTTCTGTGATGACTTTTTAACAACGTGGCTTTTTTTTAGAATAGCCTATCTCTATTTTATGAATTTATTATTAGGATTTCTCTAAATCTCTCCTTTTATTGGATGCTGTAATGCTAATGAAGGACTATTTTCACTTGGAAACGTATTGCAATCTATATTTTCACAAGAAAACTGATGTCACTTGATATAAAGCTTGCCCGTAGGTAAGCGTTTAAGAGCGACGAGACTTGATTCAGAGGTCCAGGGTTCGATATCCACTTCGAGCAGCCTGTTACCAGGCAACAGTGACAACGATTTTCACTTGAAAATACAGATAGCAATATGTTGTGAAAATAGCCTTTAATCCGGCATTACTGCAATACCCCAATTAGAATGACAACTTGAAGGTTGTCTTCTAATAGCGTTCACTATAAAAAATAGAACTATATCTCAGATGGGGTAAGGTCAATCAATGAATTGCCTACTAACCATAACAAAAAGTCTTAGTAATAAGCAGTGTTCAGTACAGCTTATAGAACACATAATAGTTCTGATTGCTATAAAAACTACGTGTATAAAAAAGCTTGACATAAAGCTGCCCAAGACGGGTATCAATCCTGGAATTTCTTATTGAAAGCCCCTAGCTCTAACATCCAAGCCATGGTAAACCTCGACCAGATAACAATATAATTTATGTTATAATTTCAAATTAAATATTGAATTGAAAGTTCAAGCTGACACAATTTTTTTTTAATTTCACTATTTCAAAGGACTCTATTAAATCTATGGACTATGCGAGAGTAATACAATGTGTTAA